CAGCACCGTAATTATTGTAGTTGGATTACAAACGACTCTGTCGACTGCATTTCCTCCCAAGCTGAAATGTGCTTTCATCATAGAAGGTCAATAACAACATGCTGTATAGTTTCTTTATGGCTTTTGGCAGCTTCTGATTGCATTTCCCATGTTACATAGAAAGCATCTGAAGAGGGCTTTCCCCTGAGAGCTGTGTTTAATGCAACAAATCATCATCCATCAGCGCTGTGTCAGCCAAGCCCACTACCACGATCCAACAGTAACAAAGCAGCATAGTCAACCACACAACTTGTTTATGTTCAGCTTAGTTTCATGTCCTTCAATTGTTTCTCAGGGGCTGCATGGGTTTGCCATGAAGGTTTTAGTCCCATCATACAATATATCCCCCGTGTCTCTGACATACTCAAGAGGCTGTTTTGCCTACAATGGTCTCCTTGATAACCTTTGACTAAAACACTACAAAGGGTATTATTTGCCTAAGTAGTCTTGCAGCAACCTACCACTTGTCTTTCAGACTGCTTATTACATTTAATTAAAATTATTGGATCCCTTGCTTGGGACTGTATGCAATAAACAACTCTGTAGTGAAATTGTTGCTTTAGCCCCACTTTACTCATTTCATGTGACAAACAGGACATTCCAGGCCAACATCTCCTCCTCAGTAAAACACCCCTGTGTCCATTTTGAGGCTTCAGTACACCATAACTGCATTTTTATCAGTACAGCAGGAAATGCCAAAGATGCAGCTGTTGACAAACTACGATATGTCATTAGCAAAGGCTAATGTTTCTGCCTGTCAGCATACCATTGTTTCATTTTCTCTGTCTCACTTAACTGGCTGTGTAGTGGATAAAATGTAGATTAAAGTAATGTGAGGAAGTCTTTAAAGCATTTTTAAGTAATGTGAGGAAGTCTCTAAAGCCAAATGTACTTGAGTTGTCTTACTCTATATGAAATCTTATTTTTCATAAACTAGTTCTTGAACTGTTGTGTTTATGAAGCTTTTCCAGTCACATGTTTCGCTTCAGGACCTGTTCATGCTACTTTGGACTGGAACCAACCATGCTGTGGTTTCACCTGGTCTGAAGCTTATTTATTCTGTTTCATCTTTGTCAAAACTCTGCATGGCATCACTGATGATAAAGGTTAATTGTGAGTCATGATGAACAAACCCTTGGCCAGTTATGGAAATTGTAATTGGTTCAGGTCTCAACTGAGACTTGTTCCGGTGGGAGACTGTGTGTGGTGGCCCTAATGGAAATGTGACAAATTGATGTCAGAGCCCATTAGGTTTCATTCTAGTTAAAGGAGTAGTGAGGCTTTTCTGGTTTGTATGGCTCACCAGAGTTGAACTGATGTTTCTATCGCTCATTCTATATCTACTTTACATATAATAGCCATTTTGGTTTTGTATTGACTCTGGATTGGAAGTGCACAGTCTTTTGGTGTGAACAGACTCATTTAAAGGAAATATCTGCCTGTGAGCCTTGTTAGAGTGAGTTTTTGCTGATGTCAGAGCATTTGCTGTCAGTCCTGCAAAGTTTAATTATGTAAATCCAGGTTTTGGGTTTCGGGTTCCACCTGGATTTCAGTGGATTTTTTAAAAGATGGAGTTCAGGGTTGTGCAAAAGTTCAATTCAGTGGGATTAAATTCAAGCTAAAGGATCAAGTGGTACTAACTCTGTGACAGGAGAAAGTAAAATGGCTTATTAGTGTTAAGCTCTAGACGAGTGGAAATGTTTACATGTGGAACATGGGCGCACTGTAAAATCTGATCAAATGTCAAATCAAGTGTTGAACTTTTAAAGTTGCTCAAGTTCATTAATTCTCTTTTATCCCTTTTCCTGAAGAAGGGACTGGGAAAGCAAATGTCAAACTAAGCTTTTCCTATTTCACACAGCTGTGTGTGCCACGAACACCAAGTTACTTAGGTTGTTCTTGACTTCAATTCTTGAGCTGTGTTAATCTTTGTTCATCTTGTGCATCTGCTCTCTTGTAAAATGTCTTCATTGTGGTTTCTTTTCTAGCTGAATCAATCTGAATAAATATAGAGGCCAAGAGAAAATTAATGTTTTTTAAGAATATAAAATGAAAGATCCAATTTCCAACAAAATTCTTTTCTTAAAGCCTTTTAACGGTAACTGTGTTTTTTTTCCAAAGACTTTAATATCAAGACTAAGAATATCATGTACTGATGACCTGGCTGCTTCAGTGGGAAAAAGTTGCACAGGTTTCCAGTTTTGACTTCATACAAAGCTGCTTTAGAGTGCTTAGGGAAAGGGAATCCACTACCTGCACACAGTAATGCCATCCACACAAGTTCGATTTAAATACAGCGTAACCTGATAGTATGTGTGGCTTAGGGAAGAAATCTGTGACCCAGGGTCATGTTCAGGAATGCCTCTGAGGGAAAGTAGAAAGAAAGGGGTACAGACAGCCTCACAAAGGTAACTGTAAATAGAAACTAAAGGTTTATTACATGCACAGAAAAAATGAAGGAGAAAAATGTAGAGGACTGGCAAAATAAGATATATGGGAAACCATCAGATCGTTGTTTTAGTCATATTATCCCAGACGTCATGGTGGTGTCTGTCTTGTAAAGACAATACACCCTGGAGAGTTAGTCGTTAAAATTTTGGAGCAACTTGCTGCATAAATTTGCTTATGAATGAGGAACTGCTTTAATGGTTAATTTAATATGTGAAGACAAGCGCATTGGCTTATAAATTGTTTATAATTCATTAATTTATTAGCTTAATTAGTGAACTCATTACCATAGCCAGCAGTTATGTTTAAGAGATTATGATAGGGTGTTAAGCAGCTCAACTGCCAACTCTGTGATACAGATATTTCCTTTTCTGTTATAATACTACTTTTTGCAGTGTTTGCTTTGTTGGTATTAACCATCAGTGTTTCAGTATGTCATAATCAGGGACTGTTCTGACTAAAACAAGCCTTTAGCAGGTGACAATGCACGGCAGTAGCCGGGTCCTGTCTGTAAACAGTAAAAACAATGAGTTGGTGTGACATTATTTGATGAAATCTGTGAATTTTTCCATTATTTCTGACTATTTGACAAACAAGCATGTCAATTATGCTTGAATAATGAAACCTTAATTTAGAAAGCTGGTTATTGTTTTCCCATTTTGAAAAAAAAAGTATCTTTGCAATTGCTAAAATTGGTCAATTATCTCATTAATCAAATGTTACAAAATTAATTGGCAAGTGCTTATTTCTTTAAATTCTATGAACTGCCATTTGTCAAAGAAGGGAATTTTTTAAATTTTATATTACTGTAAACTGTACTGTTTGTCAGACGGTACAAGACACCAGAATCACTTCAAACTCTGACAAAAATGTGAGAGACATTTTTCACTTTTTGTTTTATTTTTTTCAATATATTTTTGTGTCTATGATGTTGTCTTGGCTGCCATCACCAAAATGACAAAATTTTTTGTTTACATTGTGTCATGAATCATAAACAACTCTGCAGCTCAGAGTTGGAAGTGTTACTCTGTGTGTGTTGGTGTGTAATCTTTGGACGGTGACGTGTGGTTCATCAATGGTGCTGATCAGTTCCCCGGGGCGCTCAGTGGCTCAATTGAGCTGAAGGACGCTGTGTCCTTCAGGATGGAGGTTTATAAATGCTGGAGCCGCTGGTCTCCGCTCTCTGCAGCCTGCTGCAGTGGGTATGAGGAGCAGTTTCCACAGAGGCCAGGGGAAAGAGGTTATACGCGCTGGTTAAAGGTACCACAGGTGAGACACTGAAAGACAGGAGGTGAGACTCTGCATGGAAGAAGGATGAACTCAGCTTTATGATGCATTCTTTTGAACACAAGTTGGTTTGTGCTTTAATTTTGTTTCTCAAATGGCTTTAATTGTGATTTTGGCAAGAGAGTACAGCTGATATTGCTGAAAGTCTCTGTCTCCTCAGTGTCTTTTGCAGCTTTTTTTAACACCTTGTTCAAACAAAGACTAGCAATTTGTCTGATACACTCGTGTGTATATCTGCTCCAAAGTTATCAAAGCTTTGTGATCGACCATTTCTTCATGTAGGTCACAGAACCCACCATGTTGGACATTGATCTTAGTGGTTTGGTTGTAGCACAGGAAAGCAGGTCACTGATTTCCCAAACTGTGAAACTATCAATGTCTCCTCTGCCCTTAAGCTCTAAGTCCCAACATAATTAAAACTGTAGGACGTGGTTGGGGGCATTAACCATTAAAATGACACAAGATTCTTTAGAGTTACATGCTAAGTTTTTGTAAAAGTGGTAGTATAATTATTTCAAAATTAAAATGGAAAGAAATTGTCAAAATCTGTAGCATTACACTTGACGTATTTTGTAGTGGGGATAATAATGCAAAAATATTTCATTTTTGACTGCAGAGTGGCTTTAAAAATAAAAGGAATCCCTTTAGGCAAAGATATGTTTTGCTTTGGTATTTGACATTTCATCAAACATTCAGTGACTTTTTGCGTTATGTAACTGCAGCTGGAATAGATAATCTTATCTGCTAGCACTAACATTGCCTGAAGAAGTGCATTTCTGGTGCTGATAGAAACACTGAATAAGACAATATGACAGGAATGAATAACAATAGCAAGTGGGCCAATATTGTACTGGAAACCTGCTGCTATCAAAAGGTCACTATGTATACCTCAATCATCTTTTTGGTTAAACAACCAACCAATCATGTCATCTGTTCAATAATCATGCCATTGCTGCGGTAAATGGTATGTTGTTTCATGTGTTTCTTTGCTTTTATTTAATCCTTTTTTTCCGTCTTCCTCCTTGTCTTCATCCGTCCTGTCTGAACACGTTCACCCCTATTTTCACGCTGCTCCTCATGCACCTGATTTTCTCATGATGGACTCTGGGGGTCCTTCTCCTTCCTTTCCTGGCATGACCCATTCTTTTCTTTGCCCTGCTAAACCTCTTCACATGTGTGCTGCCTTCTGGTTGGAGATTGCAGAGTGCACTGTAGCCCCAGTTGCAATGGAGGACAGTGACCATGAGCCTTCCTCTTCATCAGATGAGCAAGACTCCTGCCCAGCATCCCCTAATCACAGCAGGGACCATGATGCTGAACAGGTATCAGTGACACCCCCAAAAACTCCTGAACTCTCCATTTTACTCCTGTTTAGTCAGAGTCCTAAGCTGGTATGGACACAGCAAGCATACTGTACAGTTAAAGGACAAAATCACCCTTGCCATTCCTTTTCTAAATAGCAACATATAGATATTTTTCATTTGTCCTGCCACAGTAGCCCCTGATCTAATGTAGAGTACATAACATGAGTACAGTGTCACAGTATGGAGCTGCAGCTGAATTTAAATGGTCTTGTTGCTTTCTAGGGCCACTACATTATTTATCTAGCAGGAAGACTTTTGTCTGTGGGACGGGGGGAGCTGTGGTAACTTGAGTCCATAATATGCACAACAGTATACACTTGAGCCTTGTATCCTCTTACAGGAAAGGCTGCACTTCTTCTTTTTTAATTTGTAGTAAGAAGTAAACTACATATATCGTCCTTTAATAAAAATAATAAAGGTCTGTTTCCTCACTTTAGCCCGACAGAATTTATAAAATAGTCAGGAGATTTATACCCCATGATGTAGCAAAACTGATTACAGATCACTCTCTGCTTCAGGGAATGTATAATAAAGCTTATACCCAGTTTTAAAGCTCATTCAATAGTTTTCATTGAAATGAAGCAACACAGAAATCCATTCAGATAGATGCTGTGTTTTACTGTTGTTCTCTACCATGATCCATTTTCACTAATGATTATAGAAAGTGATTACCAGCTGAACTGCCGCAGGCATGTAGGAAGTTTGTCATGAGTAGTGAAAGGCGAATCCACATGCTTTAAAACCAGTTAAGCTTGTTCCTTATCCTTAAAATGTCATCCTTCGCCTTAAGCTAGAAGCGAGTAGATTTTATTCTCAACATTTCACATTCAAATAGCTAAACAGTGATTTCTTCTTATATGACTTCTGCAGTGAATATTTAGCTTTGTTAATGTCAGTAGGATCTCTCCTGTCACTGTGTCTTTCCTGTAGACTATAAAGTCGTTAACTATTACAACCATTTCTAAAAGTGTGCGTTTTCTGCCTTCTGAATCTTTACACCTTCCTCTCTACATTGGCATGTTCCTTTCCTCCGTGTGTCTTTGCCTCTGTCTTCTACTTTTTTCCCACCTTGTCCATCCCCTTCGGTCTTGGTGTCTCTCTAGCATTCAAGCCACTCAGATGACTCAGAAGTGGAGAATATTATGCATGACCCTCAACACCAAGAGGGCCACCACCACCACCACCACCACCAGCAGCATGACCAAATGCACCACCACCATCATGACCACGAGGCTCATGATGCAGATAGGGAGGCAGAGGGCGAAGACCGCCCTCACACCCCGTCCTATCTGCGACCCCCTGTGGCGGGTAGGGCCCAGTCAGATTCAGGTTCAGACCCCAGTTTGCCGCAGAGCAGGAGTGTGGAGTTTGACTTGTCGTCCCCCGTCAGTCCCTCCAGGCCAAAGAGCCCCTGGGGTCTGTTTGACCCGTATGACAACAATGAGGTAAAAGTAGGTGTAGTCGAAAAACGCAGAAAAGATGAACAAAACTCTGTTTTGTTTAGTTGATGTTTTTAAGGTGACTTGACCTTGTACTATGATGTGTTGCACAGTTCTTCTGCAGACAGACTGACACACTTCATGGGATGGGATGGAGCTTGTCACAGACTGTGTAAAACTCTAGAACTAATAAGTATTTTGTTTTCTTCTGGTGGAACATGATGGTAGTATTGCTGTTTGCTCTTGTTGTGTGTAGACTTTTTTTTTTTTTTTTTTGGTGGCAAACTTCATATGGGAAAGTTTACACACTGTGAATGAGACAGACGCTCCAAGATATCTGCAGTGTTGGATAACAATGTCGGTCATGTATACATATAGATCTGTGTTTCCCTGATCTACTCTTCTATCCTTGTGTTTGTCTTTAGGATCAGGACAAGGAATATGTGGGTTTTGCAACACTGCCAAACCAGGTGCACCGCAAGTCCGTAAAGAAAGGATTTGACTTCACGCTCATGGTGGCAGGTAAATCCTAGTTTGCACATTAGCAGACATTTGATCTTAAGCCCACCTTTTACATTGAAGAGACTGCTAATCACAAAGTCTTAAGCCTTGCTGTTTTATTCTTTGCTGTTCTTTGTTTGAAGGTGAGTCTGGTCTGGGAAAGTCCACCCTGGTCAACAGTCTGTTTCTCACAGATCTGTACAAAGATAGGAAGCTGCTCAATGCTGAGGGTGAGGATTTTTTTGAAATCTTGTTTCTGCTTTGCTCAGTAATTTTTCCTACTACAGCATGTCGTGGCTGATGTTTAAAACTGAGGCATGTGTGTGTTTTTTCCTAGAGCGAATCACACAAACAGTAGAAATCACCAAACACACAGTGGATATAGAAGAGAAAGGAGTTAAACTGAAACTCACTATCGTGGACACCCCTGGGTTTGGGGATGCTGTAAACAACACTGAATGGTATGTGTTGAATATCTTCACAGAATAAAATAACAATACTGTGAATCTTCACCGAGCACAGATGGATAGCCTCATTTTAGCTATGTTGTGGTTAAGAAGTCATGTTCAGCTGTTACGTGTTCTGCATTGCCTCAGAGACTGAACGTCCCTGTGCATTTCTGCTCTAGCTGGAAGTCAGTGGCTGACTACATCGACCAGCAGTTTGAGCAGTACTTCAGGGACGAGAGTGGCCTCAACCGCAAGAACATCCAGGACAACCGCGTACACTGCTGCCTCTATTTCATCTCACCCTTTGGTCATGGGTATGACAAAGCTGCAGTTCTTCTCAAGGGATTAGTTAGCCTGCTCACTGTCTCTTTTATTACTCCTAATAATGAAGAATAGTAATGCTTTTCTGCTGTAGTATGTAATGTCTGTGCTGGTATTTGCATCACAACATAACAACCAGAGTGAGTTAGGTTTATCATTACTTTCACTTTCCCTAAAAAACATAAATCTCATCACCTTACACATGTTCATTCACAGCCTCAGCACACAGCCACCGAAATAACACATCTATCACAAATATCTACTGGACCACTGTTTACTTGCTGTGCATTCAGCCCATAAATTGTTAATGCAGCAGCTCTTGTTCAGAGTTAAAGCAGTTCTCTGCTGCCTTCAGGTGAATTTACATCTGCTGCAGTGCTTTCACTCTAATCATTTGTTAGCGCTGAGTGCTGATGTAGTACTTTTCAGTGCATTTGTGCACATGCACTGTTCCACATCACTGTGCTCATCAAGGAACAACTCTACCATAAAACTCGAGTAATGCTGCAGTGCATTTCCAGTGCGACAGTGATGGAGCAACTGCTCCCTCTGTCGGTGAGCTTCACTCATTACTCATCAGATAATGCACCAAGAGGTCACTAAGAGAGAAAACCTCTGCAGGCACTAATCGATCCTCTTGCACATCCAAAGACATCATCTTATGGCTTAAATTTGATGTCAAATCAATATCTTCAGGCTGCCAACACACATTTACAGATCAGGTTTGTGGCTTCATTGTTTCAGTCAGGCCAAACAACTTTGATCACAGTCAATCTTAGTAAAAATGTCATCCCCTAACTACAGTTGTTTCTGTAACAGCAAATCGTCAAATGACACCAGTACATTTCACACATGTTTACAGACCCTGGGTGGTCATTGAATATTGCATATAGGGAGAGCATTGTGTCTTATTGTACTTTTATAATTATGTCTTGTGTCTTTTCTAGCCTTCGGCCTCTGGATGTGGAATTTATGAAGGCTCTGCACGAGAAAGTCAACATTGTCCCTGTTTTGGCCAAAGCCGACACACTCACCCCAAGTGAGGTCAAGAAAAAGAAAATTAAGGCAAGGCAATCAATAAACTGTTGATCTTGTCCCATAAGTGAGGAACTTTTTCAATTTTTTTTATTTCAATTTTATTTGTATAGCCCAGTTTACAACATATGTCATCACACAGCGCTTAACATAGTAAGGTATAGACCTTGCAAAAACAGAGAACCCAACAATCCAAAGTAGCCTTTGGACTCCCTCCGAGCAAGCGGTTGGCAACAGTGGGAAGGAACCACCGTGTAATAAGACGCTGTGATCCACTGTATCAAATACAGCACTAAGATCCAGTAGGACAAGTATAGAAACTAGTCCACTGTCTGAAGCTACTGGAAGATCATTAGTGACCTTCACCAGTGCTGTCTCTGTACTATGATGCATTCTAAATCCTGATTGAAACTCTTCAGACAAACCATTTCTATGCAGATAATCACACAATTGGCTTACAACAACTTTTTCAAAAATTTTAGAAATAAAAGGGAGGTTGGATACCTACATCTGAATGACTGAACACTGTCGCTTTGATAGGTTGATGAAGCCAGCAGCATTCTGTATCCCAACGTCTGAAAAGGACATAATTCACACTTCGACTAGAACGACCTGTTTTCATGATTTCTTCTCCATATCTGTCATATCTGCAGATCAGAGAGGAGATTGAGCAGTATGGTATCAAGATATACCAGTTCCCTGACTGTGACTCTGATGAAGACGAGGAATTCAAGCAGCAAGACCTTGAGCTAAAGGTGATTCGCCAGAGCTGCCAAATGTGTTCCAGTGTTCGTTCTTTTAATGGTCTTTCCTACAGTTTGGGGTTTGCGGGATGTTGAAAGCAGCATGTGCTTTTTCAGCATATGTTTAGCATTCATCATTTTCTTTGTCTAAGCTTTTGCACTGTAGACAGGTAAACCTTAAAGCTAAATGGTCATATGAATCATTGTTTTTAGACACAAAACTAATTTGTTGGTCTGAGTGCATTTATTAGAAAAATCAGATTACAGACTGTAGTGATGTTACATTGAATATACACATCATATAATACGTGACCTTGACAGTTAGTTCACTGCAGATTTCACAGACTCGATGAGTCAACGTTCTCCATCCCTCTCGCATCATAACCTGGCAGTAAGGATACACTCAGTGTGCCAGCTTATCTCTCTCTTCTTCCATCCTTGGGCAGCCTCTGATAAGAGCAGTGTGGAAGAGTGGAAACATTTAATGGGATGTTTGTGTTCATATTTGAAAATTGGGGTTGAAAGCTATAAATTACACCTCCATTTGAATTAAGCAGAGATGAGGAAGAAAAACAAAGATGTTATAGAGAAGAAGACAAAGACTGTGAAGAGACAAGTTGGGGAATATTTTTTTTTTTTTTTTTTTTTTAAAACATAAACACACACACTGAAGCACTCAGTACTGCACCAGTCCATTCTTAAATACTGACCCATCTACACCCTTCCCTGCTTTATACATTGGAAATAAAACTTTGATTTTATGATCCTTTTGGTTCTCCCTTCAAGGAAAGCATTCCCTTTGCAGTAATTGGTAGCAACACAGTGGTGGAGGCTAAAGGGAAGAGGGTGCGGGGCCGTCTCTACCCCTGGGGTATCGTAGAAGGTAGGTCCTCTCTCCTGGTTCACAACTTAGTGCTTTGTAGTAACTGAATTTTATTCAGAAAAAAAAATGTCCATTAAGATAATTTGTAGCATCTGAAGTCTTTAGATTTCATTTTGATACAAATACAGATAAAGTTGCTGACAATCAAAGTTTTCACGTGTATTTCTCCCTGAGATCTCACTGATTCTTTTTGCATTTTTATTTATACTTTCCTGCATGGCAAGTACAAATAATAGTTTCTTGTGCCTAAACATGAATTGATCCTCACATTGTGCTCTGCAGTGGAGAACTCTGCACACTGTGATTTTGTGAAGCTGAGGAACATGCTTGTTCGCACACACATGCAAGACCTCAAGGACGTGACCAGGGAGACCCACTACGAGAACTACAGAGCCCAGTGCATCCAGAGCATGACCCGCATGGTTGTTAAGGAACGCAACCGCAAGTATGTCCATACTGAAGCATGACAGACGAATAGAGGTAGACAGTTGTTGTTTTGATGGATGTCATGTACCGATTTCAAGACTAGAAGGATTAATGTAATTAAGATTAACCCTTTAAACTTTTTATTGCATTGGTAAATGATCCCACAGTGAGCAGACACACCCAGAAACTATGTGGGGTTCAGAGAGTTGAAGAAATACATATTCCAATATCAAGATAAAGATGTAGTCCATCACTTTTTATGTTTTCCGTGTGTTTAATGGGTTCCTATATTTATTGCCCAGAGCACACGCAATTTTCTCAGATTTCTGGTGTAATGTGTTAATGGTGTTTGTTAACAGCATTCGTTAGACAGAGTTCAGCAGTACATTAGACATCACAGAGTCACAGGTTTAGTTTCATTCATTTACAGGTGAAACACCTTCGAAAAAAATCCCAGCTTTTAACATGAAATGCTTCTCTACAACCTGTATTTCTCTGCAGTAAACTAACCAGGGAGAGTGGCACAGACTTCCCTATCCCCGTGGTGCCTGGAGTGACGGAGAGCGAGACAGAAAAGCTCATCCGAGAGAAAGATGAGGAGGTACGGCACGCCGACAACGAACCGGAGTCACAGCACCAGCACGATCACGACCATGAGCACGTGTCCGACCACAGTTCTGACCACCACGAGCACTCAGACCCTCAGCTCGACCCAGAGACAGGCTTACATCAGCTAAAGGACGAAGCCCTCTGAGTGTCTTAAGCTCGCAGATTTTGTTTACCCATAAGCTTTTTATGAAGCACAGTCAGTCATGCTTTCAGGGGTTGACGAAGAGTAGCCTCAAAAACATGGCTTGGTATAATTATGCATTAAATCTTGAGTCCCTTGTCCTTTGGACTTTTGAACACCAGGTTTTTAAAAAAAGAGTTTTCCACATAAACATTTTGTATTTAGTTCTAAGCAGCACTCACATTGGAAGCACCAGGATGCTTATAATCATCGTATAGTCACATGTTCAGCAAAAAGCAGTTTGTTGACTTCCTCCTCAGGTACACATGTGTAGAGATAAACATGTAAGACTAGCAGCCTTTAAAACAGTCAGCATTGCTTTTAACCCTGAAGTGATAACATCAATTCAATGGCAGGTTCTGCACTGAGACTGCTGTGTTAACAGCTGACAAGGTGCTAAGGATGATGCCGTGTAAATCTCAAATCCCTGGGAGTAGTTGTTATTTAAAGGGCTAAATAAAATACAGTGAAAAGTATTATATAAACAGATGTCTACAATCAGCAGAGCTGGAATTAATAAAAATAAATATTTTCATCAATCCATCCATCATCTATACACCGCTTAATCCTCACTAGGGTCGCGGGGGGGCTGGAGTCTATCCCAGCTGACTTAGGGTGAAGGTAGGGGACACCCTGGACAGGTCACCAGTCTATCACAGAGCTACACTTAGAGACAGACAACCAAGCACACTCACATTCACACCTACAGACAATTTAGAATCACCAATTAACCTCAACATGTTTTTGGACTGTGTGGGAAGAAGCCGGAGAACCCAGAGAGAACCCACGCTGCACGGGGAGAACATGCAAACTCCACATAGAAAGATTCCGCGACCTTCTTGCTGCGAGGCAACAGTGCTAACCAACTGCGCCACCTTGCAGCCCATAAATATTTTCAGATTAAATAATATGGAAAGAAACCTTCCTCATAGATTCCACTTACGGTATTTTAATTCTGTTGGTTTAAGCCCAACACCCTGTTAATGTGATTATTTAAAAGCCCCTGTTCTGAGCTGAAGCTTGAATAGGCAGGAATAGATAGATACATGTGGTTTTAGTGTTCAGTGCAATGAGAATTTGTCCAGCGAAATATATGAATATAATCAAATACAGCTGATGATGTGTCATTGTCAATGTTTTTCAAAGTTCTTTCCCTTTTCCCCACTTAATCCTGCAAAATCTATTTATTTCTTTAAATAAAGAAACAATTTTTTTTTCCTCATTTGTTTTTTTGTTTTTTTTTTCTGTTTAAACAATATAAGAATTTAAGCAATAAAATGATGCTGTAACTTCATACTATATGAGTATGCATGTGCTACAGTCAGCCCACGCTTTACTACACAAAGTCCAATCACAGCACAGTAATGGGACAAAACAACTGCAGGTTGTCACACTACCAAGCACCATATTTGCAAATGTGTGACTTCAATCATGAGTTTGATTTACCAGAAAATAATACAACTCAACATGATTAACTGGTTCAGCTGCCAGCTGATATTGGTGCATTTTAGTATCTTAAAATTCTGCTGCTCGCTTCCCGCAGTTGATCAGCACAGGTCACGTGATCTAGAAAGAACAGACTAATCTCCTGAGTGTTATTGATTTTTTTCTGTCTGTGCAGTCATGCGTGAATGATTTGCCCTTAAAAAACCCTGCATAGCTTGTTGACATGCCTGCACTAGACGCCACAATCAAAGTTAAAGTGCATGTGTTGCATCAAACTGTAACTAATACAAGTCTCATCTCTCCTCACAGTTGCGGCGGATGCAGGAGATGCTGCAAAGGATCCAGGATCATTTGATCACACAGAAAGACGGCTATTAAACACAGTCACTGTGTACATGTCTGGCTTTCACTGGGTTTAAACAAGAAGCACCCAGGAAACCTTCTTCCACTCTTGAACATTGACATCCCTAGGTGTCCACCCAACCACCACTCAGCCTCATCAACAGCATGTTACACATGGATCAGGGACCTGGTGAGGAGGTGGTAAGATGTTCTGACATTTGCAGCTTAGCAACTCCCTTTATCCTCTCCAGAATCTCTGACATTAATCTCACCACTGCTGCAGAACACCTGATGCTCCGCTCCACCTGTTTTAAACAGGTTTGATGTTGATTTGAAAGAATCGGTCTATAGTTTGAGGGTTAATTCACATATCGAAAGTTTTATTTAGCCACTTGATCACAGGGTTGTATAATGAGGTTTACATCAACGTACCGGTGACCTGCTCAGATTTTTTTAAGCACACTTTTCTGGTGCAAGTGTTTATTTTTACTATCTCTATAGGTCAACATGCATATATACTGTAATTTAATTTTCTATATTACACTCAACTGCTTTTCATCTTGTAAGCGTTCCTGGTTTTATTTAATTACACCCTGCTACACTGCCTGACATTATACATGATTGTTTTATGTTATTTCTGCCCCCTGAGGTTCCTGTTGGTTACTTCGGTTTCATCTTTATGCAAAGATGTCATTTAGTTATCATGTAAATTTAGTTTGACCAGTGTCTGCATGTTTATAGCTGCCACCTGCAACGCCTGACATCATGGATGTTTGAGGCTCTGCTCAACATTGGCCAGTTTCAACTCACGTAAGACCCGCTTACTGATTTTTGTGTTAATATTTAAGTTAATGTAACTTTCAACATGACGGAGAAGACTTATTTGGAGAATTCCCCAAAGCAGAGTTGACTTTGATAAGACAAGACCCTAGATTTGCATGAGGTGAGCATCCAGTGGCAGGGCTGCATCAAAGCCCATGCAACATATTTATTTTTGCATGTGTTTATGAAGGTTACTCAGATTGCAGACCTGTTTGGTTATTGATGATCAGCTGTCGGGGAAATATATTGAAAACAGAATTTTTGGTTAGGTTTTTTTTGTTGTTGTTTTTTAATATATTGTGGCATATTATATTTTTATGGTCTCACTTCACAGGAACTCCTGTTGAATGAGCACTAACCATGACATTTATCTTATAACCAATGATAAACTTGATTGTCCCAAATTTTGGATTTACCTTTAAAAGTGTGAATTTTGTTTAACTTATCAATGCCAAGGGTAATGATCAAAATTACTGCGTGAGCATGATTATTTTGCCAATTGTTTCTATGTTACGAACCTTTGTTTTGGAGATGACTCTGCTCTGACTTGTGTGACTTTTGTTTTTTGTTAAAAAAAAAAAAAAAAAACATTCCTCAAACGTCCATCCCTGAGTCAGGTAGTACTTTTGTTTCTAAATTTGTTTTATATTAAATTTGTCTTTTGTTATGCTACTTTTTTGAGTATATTTATGTAATAAATTTATAAATGAAATGAGGATGGAAAGGATGATATGTATAAATTCTAATATTGTAATAAAATATGAATATAATTTCATGCTCAATCAGATATCGTTTATTTTTTGTTTGTTTCATTATATGTAAATGTAAGTGGAACTGAATGCTGCAGTTTTATTTTAATAAATGAGTGTAAATGGAACAAACTTAAATCATCTGTTCCTAGATTAGATCGTTCAGCATTTTAAAGTGTGCGTCAGTGGCCTCATAATTATGGTTCAATAAAATTAGAGGTTTTGTTAATGGAGTTCTGAATGGAAGCCTCTGTAGAAGCCCCGCCCCCTCTTCAGGTGTCTCTAATTAGCGGCTCAAGTTCAGTTCAGAGCTGGTTAACTAGTTAGCTTGTGAGAACCGAACTAAAGCAAAATTAAAGCCGCAAGCGGCGATGGACGGGTCCTCGCCCTACGCTTGTCGGCCTTTGCGCACGGC